GACATCCACATCATAGAGTCGGGAGACACTAAATATGACATGCAATGGCAACCTAGCTACTCTATTGTCAATAACACTATTCTGTAGAAATCAGGTAATATGTGGTCTTTTGTGATTGGCTTCTTTCATGTAGTGTTTTCAAAGATCACTCATAGCTCATATTAGAACTTCATTTCTTTTTATTGCCTAACAGGTCACAAATCCTGACCACTCCACTTGCTTCTTTGTGAGGCTTATATCATCATCAACAACAGCATAATCATCATTATCATCGTCATCATCATCATCTTATACCTGAGAAAACAAAGATCAGGGCTGGAGGTAGATCCAGAACAACAAAAGAGATTTAACTGAAGGGAAAAAGGAGAAAATGACAAAATTATGGTTACAACAGAATGTTGTGAGTATTCTCATGCCCCTGTCTCTAGGAGAATCAGCAACATGGCACATTTGAAAGCACAATTTAATCTGCATACACATCTGCAGAAAACACTAAGGGAATATGACAGTCTTTCCTTCCTTCCGTCCACTCATGAGTGCCCCATGGGTGATCTGTTTATTTCTTTCTGTAAATCACTTGATGTAAAAGAAATGAGAAACTTTTGGTAGGTGTGGAGACTGCAGTGCATTTCCTGGGAAGCCTAAATAGGCTAAAACACTAACCTCAATACAAGCATGCCAATTACATATTCCAGCAGATTTATTTCTGCATTCCTGTTCATGCAATTAGAGAAGATAAGTATTAGGTTCAGGATTCACAGTAGGTTTCTGAGTTCATTTTGAAATGAGATCATTTATAATTAATTGAAAATTGTCATTTTTAAAAGTATTGCAAGTCTATTTTTAAGATCTTACTAGAATTTCTTGAATTAATTTGGAAACTGCAGATATAAAATAGGGGATAGGAAAAGACAACAATTAAAGCACACTATTTTAAAGGGGGAGCAGAAGGGGAGGATGATTCATATTACATATAAACGGTCAAGTAGTTTCAACCATTAAGTGGACTTTCCCTTTTCAAATAAAGCATTTGATTCACTTATTCAAGTGATGTACACCTATAGGTAAAATGCAATGTCTCTCCTGTTGCTTTCAGAAGGTCCATTTATTGTCTGTATAAACTAAAAACAAACAAAGGTATTTGTATAGAAGGAACCGAGGGAGGTGAGCCAATCTAAGTACATTTTTAGATTGTGTAGACCACTTGTAAAAACTATACATATTGAACCTAAATCATCGATGCACCAAGGCCTGGACTCTTTATATATTCAAATGTTTATATTTTGGAAAGTGAGAGAAACAACACTTTAGAAAAGGCTGCTTGGCACCATCAAGGGCTATTTAAAGATCATGCCAGCATTGATTCAAGGAATAATTCATAAGCATCTTTTACAATGAACGCAAGAAACAAGTGGCTTGAGAACTTGTTCTGAGTAGTAAACCTCACTTTGGTGGCCACAGACAAAGAATGTGTGGCTAGATCCAAAATTACTGTCACTCCCTCTCTCCTCCATTATCTGAGATAGGGCCATAGGACTGACTCAGGCCCAGAGGACAGCAACGAGTATAGTGTAAAGTGGGGCTAATCTTCTTTGAATGTTTGTTTTAGGGACACAGACTTCTTGTATCCCAAACACTATGTTGGAAGAACCCCAAATCCATCAAGTACAGGAGAATGAGGACTCTCACTGAAGGTTCTAGCTGACTGCACAGGCAATAATAATCTGTCAGCCATCTTGGCAAAGTAAGGCAACTTAGCAGAAGATTTTGCTGGTCCTTTGGAAATCCCCTTGACAATCAACACTGGCCAAATACTACACCGAGTAGAGAGTGTTGATCATGGTTAAATCCTCTATACAACAGAAGAAAATGAAACTTGGAGAAAAGACATTTGCCCAAGCCAGCATTCCAGTCACAGAATCACTGTTCTATTCTCTTTACCACTAAAGCATGATGCCCTGCTTTGCTTCAGAAAGACTCTGGAGACCCACTTCCACAGCTCAGGACTTGGGTGTCTACTAGTAAAATAGAGATTCTACTCATCTTACCATGTTTTCCAACCATTATCCTTCCATGAGTGTCTCTGTTTATCCATGTATGTATGTGTGCATGTCTCTGTGTATAAGTGACAAGTGTTAAAAAACTTCTCTCTTGGTTTTGGCCCATCATATACAAAGCTAGTTTGTCTTCACTTGGGGTACCATGAGGATAAGTGGACCAGTCACACCAATTCCTTTGGATTTTTAGTACACCGAACAAGTTTTTGAAAGTAAAGGAGATTTCTTTCTTCTTATGGGGGGGGGGGAGGGGAAAAGAAAATCAGTGTCTTCAGCACCACTGCCTCCCAAAGATTCTCAGCCCGGTTCATATTCCATTTCTAGCCCCCACAGGGCAGCTTAAACCACAAACAAAACAATCCTCACCTTTACTGCTCTTGTCACAAACATGTTCCTTGGTACACAGGCATTTGGCACAGATAGGAAAGATGGTATAGGGTTGGTTCTCATATGCCAGCACTGGCTTTTGGCAATGGAGGACAGATTACTTGCCACTTTGAAAATGTGCCCTGTGCGGGAACCAGAGCCTTTATAAATTAATCCTTTTCTCTTCCCCTTCTGGACCAACATCCACCCACTTTTAGGCACATTTGGGATGTTTGTGCCTTAAAAGAAGGGAATGTAAGGTGTTCTAGAAGAATAGAATCCATTAAGAGAAACTGAGGCTATCTACTGCCTACTGTTCTATGTGGCTTTTCAAGTCAGGAAAATTTTGGTTAATAGAATCTCTATTTATTGTAATATACCCTATGTTTTCTTACATGTTAAGAATAATCATTACAAAGGATGAAAGATAGACATAGGAGGTGAATGGGGGACTAGATTTCATGAGGGAGAAAGAGTCTGTCTGAGTGGTCCCCGCTTCTTCTAACCCTCCCCCGTGGCTCTCCTCTAGTGGTAATAACCATTCATGTTGAAGTCTGTCAGCCCTGCTAAATCATGAGCTCTTTGACAAAAGCAATTCTGTGTTAAGTGCATTTGTAACTCTATTTTGGACAGTGCTGAGTTTAAGTGATTGAGGATGAATTAACAAATTTCTTGATTTCTGTGGTTCTCTTAGTTACTGGCCTCCTGACTCTGGGTCCAGATTCCTTGTTCTACCTCTTCATTTTCTATGGGTCACAAATCATGATATGACAAGAAGGCATGGAAAAAGTTGCCTTTGACCAAGGTACAGAATCCCAAATCCATGAATACTGCCCTCCCACAAACTCCCTCTTTAATAACCCCAAGATATATGCAGAGAAAAAAACCATAGATGATATATTACTATTGCATAAGAATCCAACTCCAGTATCAGTCTTCATCCCTAGCCATGAAAATGACATGAAGGGTTCTAGGCTAAACAGTCACTTAGCAAAGCCTCTTGTCTTCTCCCCCTCTGGATCCAGTGAAGTAAAGGGAGTCTGTGGAAAATCACTCTAAAGCCCCACAATCTGAAAAGAAGACATTTGCTATTTCAGCTGGCCACTTATCAATTGTGGGGTATTCTTAGAACAGAGCTTGGAGAAGAAAGAATGTTCAAAACTTGACAATGGACTCTCAGGAAACTGCTACCTCATAGAACCCAGGTTTATTAGGTTTTTCTATTAGCAAAAACGCTTGAATCTCTTGGACCATGGCACAATAAATGACATTGACCTTAATCCTTCATTAGCATTTATCCTTCAAGGTGAAATATGGGGCTGGGAATAAGCTAAGTGCTTCCTCCAGTGGCAAGATTGGCTTTGAAGTCACAGATACCAAAGAAGATTTGGTCATGCTGAGACTTGTTGACTTGGTTTCGCCTGTGACGCCATTACTCTACTGATCCCTGTTTTTCTGCCACATCTTTGCCCCATCTGTTTTTACCTTGACACATGTCATCTCTCTCAGCCTTGAGCTTTCGGTGGACTCTGTTTTTAAAGCAGAGAACAGCCCTTCTATGCTGGCCAATCTTGAGAACTTCCTGTGTGTCCTTCTGCTCTCCTGTTTTCTCTGCTGGAAGGTGCATATCTACCAATCCATCCATCACCCCATGTGCACACATATAAATCAAAATTCCATACACCTTCTTTACTTCATTAATGCATGTGATGTTTAGACTCAAAACACAACCATCTTCAGGGTTCTATTTTTTCATACTTTTAAGATCAATTTAAAGTATCTTTGATATAATATGAAAGTTTTGAGCCTTTAAAAGAAGACAAGGAAGGGCCTATCCTTACACTTTGCACACCCCTCCCCCATTTCAATCACTGTGGCTCAGATAGTCATCTGAAATGCTGAGATTCAGTTTTCCCTCCAAGGCTCTCCCTCCAAAGCTGCTTTAGTCTCCTGCCTCTGGACCATCCACTGACAGTTCACAAGACTGAACATCAGTTAATACCTAGTGTTGAGCAAAGTCAGAATCAAATATATCAATCACTTAACTAAAAGCACACTTCAAAGGAGGACACAGTCAACCAGATAGCAACTGTGAGCAGATCGCTCTGGCAGGTATCTGATGAAGACACTGCTTTGTCATGCTTCTAAAGAGTACCTAAGCAGACAGCTTCACAGTCTAAAGTCTCATGGGGAGAAACAATTTCAATTCAAGGAGCCAGGGTGGAGGAAAGAAAAGGTAGACTACCCACAGAAAGGATATGACTTGACGCTTCCCTCGTCTACCACCAATGTTGATCACGCCTACAGCCTTCTTGGAGCTGGATCAGGTGCTCCCTGATACCACATTTCTATTCACACACACACACACACACACACACACACACACACACACACACACACACACAGTGGTTCAGCTTTGCCTGTGAACTCCTGAGACTGAGAATTCCTTGTCCTTCACCTCTCAGTCACCAGTTCACCCAACTTCTCCAAATGATGGTGCTAATGACAAAAGCCAGCCAAGAGAGTCGGGGGAATCGGGAATGGAAGACAATGGTACTATGGGGCTTCTGTCCTTACCTCTCACCATCATTTCCTGTGCCAGGTCTTCTGAAGGGTGTTTTGATCTTGAGTTAGGTTAACAAGGAGGTCTTGAAGCAGGAGATGAGCAAATACTTTACTCAAGGACACAAAGAAAGCTTGTGGTGGTCTTGATTTGCTCCATCAACCCCACTTCCCACAGTTATGTTTAAAGTGCCCTAGCCTGGGTTCACAAGAAGGAAGAGGATACTGGAGTGTGAAAGAACAAAATCGACCTCCTCCCTCCCAAAGCAAAGCAGTCTACCTCAGCTCCACAAAGCTGGTTGTGATGCTAAAACATAGTGGCAGGGACAAAAGCCAACATAAATCCCACATGAGATTAAAAAGGGCTCCCCCAAGGAAGTGCTCTCACCTAAGGACAGTCAGGAGAATATCTACCTGTCATTGAAGGGCAGGCAAGCCCCCCTTTACGCCACTTGTCACATGTGAGCCTGTCGTAACCAGGGAGGGTCACAGAGATTCAATTCCATAAAAAGCAGCTTGTAAAAATAAAACTCAATTCTTGGCTTGTGTTGCAACACTTCCTCTGTTCCAAACTTAATATTGAAGCCACCCACAGGACCGCTGTCATAGCCAAATACAGTAAGGAATCAAGTCTCCTCACAGGAGGTCCAGAAGAACAGCATCCCACAGCCAGCATCAGGTAACAGTACAAACAGGCTGTGGAGGCCCCCAGAGCAGGATTGCCGTGTTTGCTTCATCTTGGCAAACCAGAGATGCTCTCCAGGTCTTCTCAAAGTAAGACTCATAAATATAACTCTAGACCGCAGAGTCAGCTATCCCTTGGCACTCAGAACTTCTGATTCTAGAGAAAGCAATTCTCAGTTTGCCAGATTCTGTAAAACACAGGATGATGACACAGAGAAAAAGACCTGTCCTGTGATCTCTGTCTAACCCACAGTGCTCTCTCAGCTTTCCTGGTCTATCTGCTTCCCTATATAATTTACTAACCTTTCCCACATATAAATCTTCTCCTCTCAGCTAGACCATAAGTTAGATGAAGTCAGACACCGTCCAGCCCTAGATGGCAACTTTAAGCCATTAGAACCAACCTCCTCAAACAACCCTCCCATCATTTACTTTCAAAGAAAGAGAACTCTCTTCCAGTATGTTGCATCATTCATGCTTCAGTCCTGATTCATCTGCTCTAATTTATTTCATTTCTTGCTCCCTGAACTATTTTTCTGATATTTTGGCCTCTCAGTCTGCCTGCTTGCAGATGGTCTGGCCTTGATTCTTGTCTTTAGCCTTGAACATGGGACCATCTTGAGCACCCAGCAAGAAAGCTGACTCCAAAAACAGTCTTTTGGGGTCTAAGTCCTGATATCACCATTTATTAGCAGAGGGGTCCTGGGAAAGTTATTATAGTTCACCCAGTCTTCATTTTCTCAACAATAAAATAGTATCAATAACAGCACATATTTCCTTGAACTGAGAATACAAAATGGATTTTTAATAAGACAATCTTAATGATGTCCAATACCATGGAATTCTTCAATAATTATTACCAGTTAAACACTTTTTTTGCTCCTTCAATGGTCATGTAGATGCTTTAGTGTTTAATGGCTGTGAAAAAAAATCCAGTATCACTCATCTTTCAGGTAGTTTACATGTGATAACCCACTCCAGGTTTACTCCAAAAGATGGAAGAGAAGGCATCTATATGTGCTACACAGATACACTGTGCCTGATACAGAGAGAGGAATTTAGCAAGTGTTAAGATTGTCTTATCTGGTGATTGATTTCATGTAGGCTCCAGCTTATTTAAATGGAGCTCCACAGAGCTTTAGTTAAACACAAAAGGTTTTCTTTCCCCTTTAAAATGGATTTTCTATCAAAGAAACACCTATCTTGTGCTTTACTAGATAGTAAAACTCACAAATAACCCATAACATTTCCTATCCATCCATTCCTGGTCTCCACACGTGAGTGGACACCAAAAAGGACCATGTGTTTAATCAATTAATAGTTATTTGCCCAAGATCCTGCCTTAGGTAGCTAATATCTGATTGTTAAAACAAGACCAAGACAGAAGAATTATCAAATAGTAATAGAAAGTACATAATTAAATGGTGAGTCAAGTAAACAGCAATAACTATATATACAATCATTCTGAAGAGATGTATTGGCTAGTGGAGTGGACCATAATGCTCACTCAACCTTTTTTTTTAGATGCTGTTTGTATGCTAGTTTCCACACTGACCTCTGGAATTAAGGGGAAGATGCTGTAGTCTTCCTTCCCTACAGTCCTCCATGATATTACAGATGTATACGCAGGGAACTGATTGATCTGATCCAAGCACAGTGACCTCATTCACCTTGTCGTTTTTTTGCTTCTTAAATAGCTGTTGAAGTTGAGAAGGTTGGTTTCTGAGACAGTTTCAGGCTAAAGAAAGCATTAGAGAAAAACGCTTCTCTTTTCTTCTGGAAATTGCTATCTATGTTTCTGAAGTCCATTACTTCTCTTGCAGCATAGCTCTTGCCACCAGCTCGAAAATGGGAAAAAGGAACGGGCCAAGTAGGGAACCCAAGACAGGATGACCACAGCACATCAGTTTTTATAGTATTCTACTCCGGGGCTTGCCATTAAGTAACCCCAGATATTTCTTTATTGTTTATATAAGCTTTTGTTCTTGTTCCATGAAGCTAGACACATTCTAACTCAGAACATATGCAGACAAATGAGACATGAACAGTGTTTACGGAACTAATCAGCTAGTGTTAACAGACATGGAATTCCACAGCATCTCAGTGTATTCACTAAGTACAATAAAACGATGTTCTGGGAATGAGCGTGGATCAGGGGAGTCGGCAAAGATTTAAGAACAGTAGCTTCGACAGCTTCAATTAGTCCTTGAAGGTGAGTCAGTTAATGAAGGAAAGAGTGAATAATTAACACTGCCCTGGAAAATCTCTGCAGAATTTGGCTTAATTGTTATTTCTTCATCATTTTAGTTGTTGGCTTCAAATTTACAATCCTCCTGAATGCTGGGATTACAAGTGTACACTGCTGTATCCTGCCCTTCTCACATCCTAAAAGAGGGAGGAGGAAGTATCTTCCTAAGATTAAAGTAATAAATATTTTCCCTTTGAGGGATTCCTGTGTCTGGATTCTATCTGAAAGCTTCTCTTTTAAAGGCTATTGCTTTTTATCTCTGGAGGTTGTGACTGGCTGCAAAGTGATAGAAAACCAGAGAACATCACCTGTCTTGGTGGTTATGTGTATGTAAGAAAACAAAATAACTTTCTCTCTGGGATGGCATTAGGTGGTGGAAACTACCCTATGTTAGGTTAGACAGGGTCCCTTGGAAGAAAAAAAAGCCAATTAAAAACTAAATATGTATATGTATATACATATATATGTATATGTACATATATACATAGATATATAATTTATTATATTAAAGGGGAATATATAGCACAAATTCTAACTGGTTAATAATAAAAACCCTGATTCAGATATCAGGGTGAAAGCTGAAAGATCAGAGAAGCAGAGCAGCCATCCACTAGGAAGACTTCTTACCTCTGTGGAATCCTCAGCCTGAAAGGGATGAGCCCCTGTCTCCTCCTGCCTTATATTCATCTCTCTGCCCAGCCATATCCCTTTCTGTCTCCACCTTCCTAGTGCTAGGATTAATGGCATGTGACCCCCAAGTACTGGGATTAAAGGTGTGAGCCATCACTGCCTAGCTCTGTTTCTCTTTTAGACTGAATTGATCTTGTGTAGATCAGGGTGGCCTTGAACTCACAGAGATCTGTCTGCTTCTGCCTTCCGAGTGCTGGAATTAAAGGTGTGTGCTACCACTACCTGGCCTCTAGTGGCTAGCTAGTGGCTTAGTTCCACACTCTGATCTTCAGGCAAGCTTTATTAGATCGCAAGTAAAATATCATCACATGAATTTATTAAATTGTCTTACACAATAAGGACTGGATAGTCAACAGTGTTTGTCTACATAGTGGAATGATTAAGAACAAGGCTGGAGGCCTCAGAGGTCCCCATCTGGTGCTGAAGACATGGAGGATTCCTGGAATGCTGCTGTCAGTGGATGATGTCAACAGCAGAGACACATGCACGCGCTCAAGAAGTGAAGGAATGGGTAGTGTTGAGTTTTCCTGGGACCTTTTCACATCTGCACTGCCTACTAGAAATTTTCCTATGGCTGTGCTTGGGAAAGTTGTGGCATAGAAACTTTGTTTGGCTGTGGTTTAGTTCTTCAAATAAATTTTCATGGCTTTTTAATCATTTTAAGACTTTCATATATGCCTACAATGAAATATATATATATCAGTTTCCCTCTCTAACTTCTCTTACATCCCCCTCAACATGCCTCCTTCCCAAGTTCAAGTTCTTTTTTATAGCTCCCTAAATCCAACTAGTGTTGCCCAAAAGTTCACAATGTGGGGCCATCCACTAGAACATGCAGACCCTAGCAGTGTCCACATCTGCAAAAGTGAGTAACTCCCTCCCCTAGCATCCATCCACTGCCAATAACCCTCACTAATGAATGGTAAGTCCTAAAGATCATCAACCCATCTATGCTGGAGTTTTAGCTGGCTTGATCTTGTGCATATCTTGTGCAGGTAACCACAACTGCTGTGAGTTCAAAAGTAAAATAGCCACATCATGTATGGAAGATAGCATTGCACAGCTCTTCTCTCATACATCAACTCTTATAATCTTTCAATTTCCACAATGTTTTCAGGAACCTGGCAGAGATATGGAGTGGGAGGCTATAATATAGGTGTCCTATTCATGATTAAGCACTCAGTCTCTTGATATTTTAATCAGTTATACATCTCTCCGTTGATTGCTTCCCATTGAAAAACAAACAAACAAAAAAAAATGCCTATTTGATCAAAGTTGAGAACAACATAAATATTTTGAATAATGATTCTCAACCTGTGAGTTGTGACCCCTTTGGGGTGGAACTACCCTTTCATGGGGGTTGCATATCAGACAGACAACCTGCATATCAGATATTTACATTACAATTCATAACAGTAGCAAAATTACAGTCGTGAAGTAGCAACAAAAATAATTTTGTGGTCAGGGGTCATCACAACATGAGAAACTATATTAAAGGGTCACAGCACTGGGAACATTGAGAACCACTGATTTAGAAGATACTTTGACCTAGTAAGCATCTAGTAAAATAACAAAGGCAGGTTCTACCTTAGGGTCTAAGACTTCTCCTGCCATGGGCTTTTATCAGGATTACAGTACCAGGAATAAAATTCCCTCTTGTGAGCAGGCCTCAAATCCAATCAGAAAGTACTTATCTGCCTTTTAACAGTTGTCCTGCCAATGTACCAGTGGGCACATCCTGCCTGGTAGATGGGATATTACAAAACTCAGGGTCCAACACTGGGTAA